GCACATTTCCTTGCATCATCTTTCCATGCCAGTAGAACAAAACACAAAAGCCACAAGACTATGATTCAGAGGTCTCTGCTTTACACAAGTGGCTATTTAAATTCTGTTTGAAATGTAGATTTTTTAAAAATTTCATCTCTGTAGTTTCCAAAAAATTAACGTCAATTGAAAGCCCCTCTGACCATAAAGTGTGTGTGACTCCTCCACTTAGTGCTTCTGAACATGGATAAGGACTCCAGAGCCACTCACAGCATGTTTATTACTGAGGCTGTCACCAGATTTTTAGTAATATTTTTATACAGCATGGGGCCAGAAGAACAGTAGAGATTTGACCTTTTCTAATAGATGGTAGTCTCTAAATGCAATTTGTATTATTAGAACTACATTTTGAACTCTTACTTTGTTTTCTAACCACTGTAATTTATCTTTCTACTCAATCCAGAGAAAAAAGCCGTGTGTGTGTGTGTGTGTGTGTGTGTGTGTGTGTGTGTGTGTGTGTGTGTGTGTAGGTAGGTAGATGTGCAATAGTCATTTATTAGCCCTAGAAACCAATAGTGTGACTTTGGACAGGGGGACCAGAATGGCATTTTGAAGCCAGGAGGTCAGATTGGCTCATTGCTGTCATCCAAGTACAACCTATTGGGATACTGAGCAAAGTCAGCTTGTTTTGCTCGGTGAAGCTTTCAGCTCAAGTGATAATACGCATGATGTCACTGTCCTTTTGTATTTAGGCACACCTGGATTCAGGTTCAAACAAGAGTATGAACCAGTTATGAATATTTGTCTTCTTTTCTTTGTATTGCTTTAAATCCCAGTAAGGTAGGAAGAGGTGATTAGGATAGAAGAGAATTGACAACAGAAATTCATGGGAAGCAATATTGGAAATCGGAAAAGCACTAAACCAAACCACTCTTATGTTTCTTAGAAACTATGTTGTTGATAATAGACCTGTAATGTAGATAAAAAATACAGCCACCTGTGATTTCCTGGGGAAAAGCAAACAGGGCTCTGCACATCAGGTCCCATGGACGCCACTGAGGAAATCTTAGCTAGGAGTTGAGTTGGGGGGATAGAGAATGCAGTCAGCCTGCCTTATACCAGACGTACCTGCTAGAAAACCTGATCTCTTCACAGCTAATTGGTATAAACATCTCTGCCCACCGCTTGCAGCTGGAGACCCACTTATACTTCTATGACTATTGCCATAATTAAATGCCATTTACTTTTTTCTTAGCCTAGGAATGCAGGTCCCACTGACTTTTTCTTTAAGTAAATTTAAGTGTGTGAAAGAGGAAATTACTTACAGATGATTTCTCATATCTGGGATATGCTACTTTACTTGTAAGTGAATGAATGGTGACCATTCAACTATCTCTTTTGTAAACTTTCCCCCTGCTTCAGTAACAGTAAATATGGAGAAATGAAAAAGAAGCGCTTTCATGCTTGGTGTAGCATTACCATCTCACCTCACCCACCTTTTCCTAAGAGCAGTCTGCTGAAACACTTCAAGGTTCTGTAATGTCTTTGAACATCAGTGTAGCTGAACAATGCCATGAGCACAAGGTATCCGTGGCTCTCTTCTTCATCATTGCCTTGTCAGTAAATACTTGTTGAATGGCTATGGGCCAATGGGCTTCTGGGGTCTTAAATACGTCCAAGAAAACGAGTATGTGAGGCAGCCTACACTGAGCTGCACTGCCCAATCAGGTACCACTAACCACACGTGGCTATTTGAATTTCAATCCGTTTAAGTTGATGAAAAATTAAAATTCAATTCCTCCGTCCCATTAGACACCTTTTAAGTGCTCAACAGCCAGGTGTGGCTGGCGGCTACCGCGATGAACAACACTGATACTGAACGTTTTCCTCATCGCAGGAGGTTATGTTAGCACTGGGACTAGAAAGACCTGAGTTAGTGGCCCCAATCTTTGTAAAGTGAAATTCCCATGTGAGCATGATCCTCCCTCATCCTACAAAAAGTAGCCCTTTTAACATCTCTCCCCCAACACTGTAGGAGCTCAGCCAAGAAAGGGGATGGCCCACGGAGGTGACACTCTCTTTGAAACTGATAGACAAACAGCAGTGGGGCTGTTAGCCACACTGATAATCCAGTAGTATGCACTTATTTAGCTACACCAGTTAGTAGAGCAGTGAAATACCTGTATTCATTAATAAAGAGTTGCTGTTTCAAGCGCGTCCAGTGGCTCCTTCCTCTGCCTCAGGAGTCCTGGCCATTTGCATAGGATGCTCCCAACCTTCCCTTAATTAAGCAAAAATGTTAGCTGATACCTATCCCATCCCTGGGAGTAGGAGGCTGCCAAGAGTCCTGCCCCAGCACTAGCAGCCTCGGATGGTGGGTGCTGCCCTTGGCCTCCCGGAGGGACTGCCTCCTAAGGGTCTTTCTTAAACCTATCCCATCACTCAGGGCCAATCCCAGTCCCAGAGCCGTCTGCCTCAAGAAGACCTTAAAATCATTTTCTCCAACCCTTTCAAATGACTGCAGAAATCAAGACACAGAGTCACTCAGCCAGCTCCTGGCTACTTCAGAGATAAAACTCAAATTGCTGCTGAAACCGGTTTGGCTCAGTGGATAGAGCGTCAGCCTGTGGACTGAAGGGTCCCAGGTTCGATTCCGGTCAAGGGCATGTGCCTAAGTTGCGGGCACTTCCCCAGTAGGGGATGTGCAGGAGGCAGCTGATCAATGTTTCTCTCTCATTGATGTTTCTGACTCTCTGTCTCTCTCCCTTTCTCTCTGTAAAAAATCAATAAAATATATTTTTAAAAAAACAACTCAAATTGCCTGACTCGGGGTTGTTGTGTGTTTTTTTTTGGTTTGTGGGTGGTTGGGTTTTTATTGCTGTATCTTCCTGTTGTCAGTTTTCTTAACTGTGGAATGAGGATTGATCTCTTCATGCCTCGCAAAGGTGTTAGTAAAAAGAATAATGATACCCAACATTTTGTGTATGACTTATAGTTTGCAGAAATTCTCTCGGCTGCGTTTTTATTTAATCCTCACAGCAACCCATGAACTGTATGAGACTCAGAGGCAGTGAATGGCCGGCCCGAGAGAACAAAGCCACTGTGAGTGGCAGGGGTCTAAGTCTCTTAGGGCTTGGGAAACTATAAACTCGTGTAAATGTAACATAACATAACCACATGGCATTCCTAGTTTTTAGCTTGTGGTATTTTGCAGTTGAAGATTTAGTGACATTGAAAGTGGCAACTTTGTTCAAGCAATGCTTTTTTTTTTTTGCTTTTGCTTTGATAATGTGCCAACTGCACAGGCTTTGGTTCAGCATTAAAACTGAAGTGGGCTGCTTCGAAGTATATTTTTAAAATGAGAGAATCCAAATTTGTAATTAGCTTTAGCAATGTTAGTTGGGTAGTGTGAGTATCTAAAGAGCTTCTGACAGTCATTTCTGTTATTACTGGTGGCTTACTCTTTGTATCCCACACCCCCACAGCAGTTGAATCCTTTGGAAAAAACAAAGTGTGTTCTTTGAGGGGCCATTTCCTCTATTACCACTTTAGTTTTCACATCCTATAGTCCTGATATACTTAGACAATATCTGATCGTGGCAAAGGAAAATCATTTAGAAGCCGTTCTACCCACTGGACACCTAATAATAGCAGAATGAAATTTAAATTGTTAAGGGAAGCCACAGAGAAGGAAATGGTCCAACTTTTTGATAGCCTTTTGTCTTTTGGACTTTTGATCATTTTGATAGAAACATTCCTTACTTTTAGATAAAATTTTTGGGAAGATCCATTTAACTTACTTCCAAAACAAAATTGAAATTTTGGGGCAGCTCTCTTTTTCTCTCTCTACTTCAGCCATTTTATACTATATGCTATATCCTACTAAGAAGAAATTGTGTTTATAGATAAGGGGAAGAATGAAATCATTTCATTCTATAGAACAAAAAAATATCTCTTCAATATTCTTTTATTAGCTTATAAAAATTGTGGCACTCTCTATATCAATTATCCTGTGGGTTAAATACATATAAAGGGAAAAGAAAATTTTTAGGAAAAGCTCACCTTCATGTAATATGGAATGAAAAATTAGAAACAAAACTCTGAGTATTTGTGCATATATGAACAGAGAATACTGGTCCACAATCCCTTTTTCTCAATTCTGAATCCAAAAGGTTCCAAAATCAAAGGGGTTTTTGGTAACTTCTTCGGTAGAAAAACCTGACCTGAACTAATGTGAGGCCCTATTTTATCTGACTTAATAAGACTGAGTTTTGCCACCGAAATACTTAATGTGTTTGTGGAGTGCTGCTCCAGACTCTGAATGGGGTATTATGTGATAGGTGGTAGCTCATCATAATACTCTCCAAAATTCAAACCGATCTGAATGCTGAGATGTATCTGGCCCAGGAGTTTCAGTTGAAGGGGACACGGACCTACATAACAAAACATCATCAGTGATTTATCAGGGTCAAGGTTACCGCTGCTCTTTATGCTTTTCCATAGCTTCCAAGTATTCTCTAATAGGCATGCATTGATTTAGCATCAGAAAAAAGAAGGAATATTTGTTCAAAAATGAACATAATGAGGCATCAGAGAATCATCTCACTTCAGTCAGAATTCTCGAATTTGTCATTTGTTTCCTGGGTTGCCTTGTTACTGCAGCCACATGTGTCTTTTAAACAAAGGTGTTTTGATTTGTTGAAAGAAAACATTCATGAGATGAAGTAAAAGAGAAACTGACCTATCCCCAAGCTGCCTTTGGGCTCAGGACAGCACCCACTGAGGGATGCTCACCTGGAGAAAGTACTCAGGGAATAGGCTTCCACCGGGTTGAGCCCAGGCATGAATACCATGGGCTGTTTATCATGTTCTGGATCGGTCTGGGAGCACACAGCCAGGGGCACAGTAAGTTAGCTTAGAGGTCATAAATCAGGGGCGGGAGGGACAGGATAGCAGGAGGGATGGGGAATGTTAACAGGCAAGGCTCACTCGCTAATGGACAGCTCTTCCTCCCCATTCAGGTGGACACTCACTGACCTGTCACAAGGCTGCCCCACAGAGCTTTGGGGTCCATGTCTGAATGGATTGCTGTAGCCTTCTCATCTCTCCCTTCGCCCAGTTCCCTGCATCCTAAGACTCGAAGCCAGCACAGGACCTGGAAAGATTACATGTAAGTTTTGATTAAGGTTTCTTTTCTCAAACCAAAACAATGGGAAAAATTTTCTGAGGTGATCATCACAAATAGCCTAAACGCACATGAATGACTTTTCTTTTAACAAAGGCATCTTGAGAATTAGAATTGAGGAAGGGAGCTGGGGTTAGATTCTGCATATTGGTGGTGCCTTAATTTATGGTTCTTAAGCTTGAGCTTGCATCAGAATCATCTGGAGGGCTTGTTACAGTACATCTTGCTGGGACATGTGCCCAGAATTTCTGATTCAGTAGATCTGTGGTGGGCTGGGAATTTGCTTTTCTAACAAGTGTCCAGGCGATGTTGAGAAAGGTCTGGGGACCCCACATTGAGAATCACTGCTTTAGTTCATGTGACTAAAAGGAGGGATGTTAAAGGTAGAAGAGTGCATTAAATATTCGGTACTAAACATCTCTCAATTAATTAAGATGTTTAGTGTTCCACTTAACACATTGATTCATCTCTCAGAAAAGATAATTTTGAGGTCTTCTCATCACCATCGAATTTGAAGTCCAGCCAAGTCGATGTCCTAATTCTGGCCATTTTACTCCAGAGGCTAGTACTAATCATTCATTGCCCTTGGTTTTCTACAGGGCTGACTAACAGTGTTGTTATTAGGCTAAAATGCCAATGACTGTCCTTTTGTAAGTTGTTTGTCATATTTTTAGATACTGTTAAGAGGAAAACATGTGTTTTCCTGGGGTGGGAAATATATTGCTTCCTTTCAAAGTGAATCATCATCATATCCCCCCTCATACACTTAAATGTGACTTGATTTTACAAAACACATGTGAGAAGGGAGGCGCAGCTAAAAAAAAAAAAAAAAAAAAAAAGTCAGCTAGTTCAGGTGCGTGTGGTTATGAGTTCTCAGGACTGACAAGTTTTGAGGATCAGCATGTTATTGTTTCAGCTTTGGAACAAGCCAGCCACCTCTCTGCTGAGGACAAGAATAATTGATTCCATGTTAATAAAAAAAAAGTAGAAGAGCTTGGCCTAACAAACACACCCTTGGCCTGGGGTATATGTCGGCATTCATGTAATTGTACATGTGTGTGTGTGAATCTCTATGCATTTCCTACATTTGAATTTTAAACATTTTTTTCTTTTGTTTCATTAAGTTGATGTAAGTGTAAAAATAACTTGAGTGATGCTGTCCAGGAAATGTTTAAGAAACTTCTGGAGGAAAGTAGGGGAGGGCAGGGGTAAGAGGAAGATAAAATTGTCAAAAAAAAACTTCTGGGCATTTTAAATCTGTGGGTAAGCACTGTGATTTATAGCATGTTCCTTGGGAATGGTAAATGTTATCATTCTAAGTATCACTTACAGTGCTTTTATTATAATTCTGTTGAATTGCGAGTAATCACTGTTAATAAAGCAATTCCCAAGCAGCTATATAATGAAAGAGCCATACCTATTGCCTAAACATTAGCAGAGCCCCAAATCCTGGAGATAGATTTTGGTGCATATCTATCTTCAGGGGATGTCCAGTGGATAGGGCTGATATTAGGGCCGACGGAGTTGTGAGTGATGTGATTATCTACTATCACTCTATCCTCACAAACTAAGGCATTCTTGTCAAGCACTAATTAGTCACTCCACACAGCATTCTTGGAAAAGAAGATTTTCAGTTTATAAAACGTCTTCACCATGAAGGGGAAGAAGTGGGTTGGATCAGGTGCGTGTTAATCTCTCTCCTGCTTTGGCATCTGTGAGTGTCCACATTTACACATCAGGTGTTCCTGTAGGACGACCTTTTTTTCTTTTCTTTTCTTTTTTTAAAAAAATATGTATTATTTTTTATTGGTTTCAGAGAGGAAGGGAGAGGGAGAGATAGAAACATCTATGATTGCCAGAAGCCGGTCCATCCTTGCTGCTTTACACAGTCGCTGCAGGGAAGAAACATCTGCACAGCATATGTTTCAAGGGACCTGGCGTATATGGCATACTGTCCTTAATATGTTTGCTCCCCTTCTTGGCGCTATGTGTTTTAACCAAGGTCATCTTTCTGAGAAAAGTTGTTTCCCCAGGTAGGGATTTTCCCCTGAAGTTAGGGAGGGAATAAAACCCCTTAACTAAGTGCCAGGTGGGTAGTTAATCACTTTAACTATGAACAATCTTGCTTAAGCTACATAATCTTTACTCCCTGGAATGGAGATAAGAAACGCCCTAACCTTTGGAATAGAAATTGACAAGATTAAAATCAACTGGTATAAATACAGATGTAACAAGACAATAAAAAACAGAACCTGGCTGGAGAACCTGGTGAGAGAACCTGACTCAAGGACGACCTTTTATGTCACTTTCATATCCACAGGCCAGGGAAGGAGGAAGTCTCCTGTGATGCCTCAGGTAATGGGGCTTCAAGCTCCCTCGGGACCTGGCTCACCTGCCAGGACCTGGCTCACCTGCCGGAGTCACTCCCTGTGCCCTCAGGTGAAGCACTCGAGTCACCTACTGCTTAGAGCAACTCTGTACAACTCCGTGCATGTGTGGGGACCATCTGTGCTTTCCCCTCACTAACCTAGACCTGTATTAGCACAAAGTTTATTAATAAAAAATAACTGAATACCAAATAGTATGACAATTCCTCAAAAAGTTAAACCTAGAATTACCACATGTCCAAACACTGCACTTCTGGGTATATAGCTAAAAGAAGTGAAAGCAGGGATGTAAAGATATTAGCACACCCATGTTTATGGCAGAATTATTCACAATAGTCCATAGGTGGAAGAAACCCACCTGCTTATCAACCGATGAGGAGATAAAGAAAACATGGTACATGTAGACTATGGGATATTATTGAGCCTTAACAAGATGAAATTCTGACACTTACTAAACATGGATGAACCGTGAGGATACAAAGTGAAATAAGCCAGACACCAAAAGACAGATACTGTTTGATCCCCACTAATATGAGGTGGCTAGAATAGTCAGATCCTTAGTCCTAAAGTAGAATGATGGTTGCCCAGGGCTAGGAAGAGAGGAGAATGGGAAGTGAGTGTTTGATGGGGACAGTTTCACTTTGGGAAGATAAAAAAGCTCTGGAGATGGGTGGTGGGGATGGTTGCACAACGATGTGAATGTGCTTAGTACCATTGAGCTGTGCTTTCAAAAATTGCTAAAATGGTAAATGTTGTGTTATGCATATTGTAACACAATGAAAATAAACTGAATGCCCGAGATCACTTTCCTTGCGAGAATGCTGTGCAGAATAGCTAGTGCTTAAAGGGATGTGACAGTTTGTGAGGCTGGAGTAAGAATGGGTGACCCTGTCCCTCACACCTCCCGCAGCCTCGTACTCTCCCTGGCCTGCTTTTGGGCCAGGGGGAGGGGTCCGCAGAATGTTCTACTTCAGTCTTAGGAGTGGGTCCTATCAGGGCAAGGACACATTTTTCAGAAACTACCAGGGGAAATGCCACAAACAACTGTAATCGCTACCAAAACGCCCTTTACAGGTATAGGAAAGCGGCTTCACTGGGACGGAGGGACAGGCACCCACCTGTGCTCCTGCAGTGGGGCTGCTCCAGTTCATCGGCATCGTGTGCCCACGAAAAGCCCAGGTACAGTGCCCCGCAAGCACGCAGTTTCAAAGCCGTGTGCATAGCTGTGGCACCTACGGGTCTTGATCAGTGCAGGTGGACATGGAGGCAGGAACCAAATGGGAGCCTAATAGAAAATGAAAACTCCGAAGGAAAACTAATAGCACATAGTTCTCCTCCACCAGGGCCTCAAATTATTGTAACACTCCAAATGAGGTATAATGTGTCCCCCATCACCAAATCTCTGTAGTATTGTGTACTACTGTATCCACAAATCACAGAAGAATTTAGTTAGTGACCTGCAGTTCTGTGAGGAATATGCCGTATTGGACCTATTATGGTAGTCCATTCGGGCCTCACATTTTTGGGACTTTGCTTTTTATTCTATGTTTCCAGAAAGCCGGCCTTGGAGAATGATCATGGGGCTTAGTGTCCTGTTTTCTCTCCAGGTTTCCTTTACTACTTTCAGGCACTGCCCCTGGGCCTGACCAGGGGTTGTAATTTTTGAAAAGCAATGCAGCAGGGTGCATAGTTTCAAAGAGCTCAGAAACCTGTGCTAAACTATCTCACTTTCTCTAATTTTCACCTCTATGTGAGTATACAATATATACATATACATGCATGTATATATATGTATGTATATTTGGCTTAAGGAAAAGGTCTAACCTAAAAAGAGATTAAATAAGGTCATCGAAGTTAAAGTACAATATATACAAATTAGTCCCCTCATCCCCACCCCAGACTTTCCAAACCTGCTTAGAAATAAACTCTCTATGCTCTTCACTTGGGTGACGGCGACAGGGCAGGGAAGGTTTTGAAGTCAGTTGCCATAGGGAGCTGCTAAGATTCCATCAAAAACTGAAACTAAAGGTTTTTATCGAAAAAGAAAAATCCAGGCCAGCAAGTCTCAGAGAGAAAAAAGTGCTTATTTCTCCTCGATTTCCACGTGGAGCTACCAGCACCCTACATTTAGGTTGAAACCACATGGATCTAGAATCTAATTAAAATTAATTCAGATCTTGTCTGGCCAGAGTGGCTCAGTTGGTTGAGCATCGTCTTGTGCACCAAAAGGCTGTTGGTTCAATGCCTAGTCAGGGCACATGCCTGGGTTGTGTGTTCAGTGTCCCAATAGGGCACATGCAGAATGTAACCGATTGATGTTTTTCTCACCTCTCCCTCTCTCTCTCTCTCTCTCTCTCTGTCTCTCTCTCTCACCCTCCCTCCCTCTCCCTCCCTTCTAAGCATTTCCTTGGGTGAGCATTTTTTGAAAATTTAATTCAGCCCCATGACTTTGGCTGGACACACTGACACATGTTTCTCTTAGAGAAGACCAGCAAACCAACAGTCACCCAGACAGGATGACATGAGGCAGAGAATACCAACAATACCAGACCCTGGGGGCTCTCCTTGTGGCTCTCGTGTTTCCCAGCAATCAGTTGT